CTTCCACTCTGCCTCTGGCTGCGGCCCGCAGGGGACGAGAGAAGGGGCAAAACTCCAGGCAGCAAAGCGGGCCATGGAGCTGGAGGAGGCGTTTCACACCCTTCGGAATCTCCTAAGGACAAGGGTACTGGAAGAGAAGTGAAGAAAGCAGCAGCCCCCACTGTGCGTGGACATGGTGCCCTGCTGCATCAGCCTGCTGCTGCTGGAACCTTCCCCACTGCCTGGGAGGTGGCACGTGGATGGGTCCCCACAGGCTGCAAGGCAGGCAGTCCTGGCTCACAGCCAGAGCAGGAAGAGGAGCCCTGGTTTGTGAAGGTGGGAATGCCAGTAAACAGGGACTTCAATTTCTCTGCACTTCACAGTTTGTCCATCGTTGGCAACCCCTGTGGGCACTGGCACAGTACAAGAGGCTCCACAGGGAGCTGGCAGGAGGTTTGTCCTGATTCACTGCCATTCTGGTATGTGTCTCCTGGCCTCTGGAAGCAGCCTGAGCAGCTCCCCAAATGCCAAGAGAGTACAGAAACAGCTGTGCCCTACCTTTACCAGGCCGGTGCAGAAGGATCTCTAGCATATAATCATCTCTAGCATGTAATCATCTCTTCTGCCCACCGGCAGCTCTCCAGCAGGCTTTGTCCTGCACTGTGGCTAGCAAGGTTTGCAGCAGCACTGACCAGTGTGGGCAATCTCCACTCACATTATCCCATCACATTTCCAAGCCTCCAGATGGCGTGGCTTAGAATGGACATCCAGCCAGGAGGCACATCACTGATTTGCTAGCTAGTTTGCTTACAGAATTTTTTTGGTTGGAAAAGACTTTTAAGATCATAATGTCCAAGCGTTAACCCAGCACTGCCAGGTCACCACTAAACCACGTCCCTCAGCACCACATCTACATGGCTTTTCAGTCCCTCCACGGATGGGGACTCCACACTGCCCTGGCCAGCACAACCCTTTTGGGGAAGAAATTCTTCTTCATTTGCAACCTAAATCTCCCCTGGTACAACTAGAGACCATCTCCTCTTGTCCTATTGCCTGTTCCTTGGTAGAGGAGACCAACCCAATGTCCTTTCAGGGAGTTTTCAAGAACAAGAAGGTCTCCCCTGAGCCTCCTTTGCTCCAGGTTCAACAACCCCAGTTCCCTCAGCCACTCCTCACAAGACTTGTGCTCTAGACCCTTCACCAGCTTTATTGCCCTTCTCTGGACACACTCCAGCCCCTCAATGTCATTCTTGGAGTGAGGTGCTAAAAACTGAACCAAATATTCAAGGTGCAGCCTCACCAGTGCCAAGTACAGGGGGACAATCCCTGCCCTACTCCTGCTGGCCACACTAGTGCTGTTACAGGCCAAGATGCTGTTGGCCTTCTTGGCCACCTGGGCACACTGCTGGCATATGATCACCTAGTCTCCCAGCATATCTGTAGAACATGAACTCTACCTCTGATCTCTACCATAAAGCACAACTGCTGCAGAGCACAGGGAGAAGTGCAACACCTAAGGCCAGTTCCTACCTGTTGTGAAGGTACTGTCTGTCTGCTCTGGTGAGCTCCCTTATAGGCCATCAGAAAGACAATACACTTCACTCCTTGTTCCAGCCCTTCCAGCACAAACTGTTGCTCACTAGGACCCAGCTGTACCTCCTACCAAATAAAACAGATCAAAGGCCAATCCAACTCTAAATAGCATTCAGCTTTTCTGGGCCACAGTGCCTCATACTCCCTATGGTTCTGTGGGCTTTTCAAGCAAAGTACAGACAGGCACTCTCACCGTATATGCTTGAAACATGGGGGCCATCTCCTCAGAGGGAAGATTTGGGTCAAGGTCTCCAGAAACACTGTTAGGACACTGAAGATACCCTGCCCCTGGTGAGTGCTGCCATTCCAGGTAATAACAAGTTAGAAAAGTGAAGTGAAGAAGCAAATGCATTCTCCACACCTGGAGATCTGTTGGGAAGAGGCATTCCACTGGTACTAAGTCCCCTCACAGCTTCTACCCAAGACAGTAGCACATCTTCTTTAAGTTCTCCCTCCCTGGGCTGTGGATAGCACAGATTCACCCTCAAAATCATTTTTCTGTGCTCCATACACATGCAAGACCTAAATGGCACAGCTGATACATATAGGGGTGATTTCAGTGGGTTCTGCAGGACTGAGGAATTCACTGTACCTTGCTTGTGCCTTTTTGACCCTGGCAGGTCAGAAGGTAGCCATCAATCTGTGCTGCAGGAGGAGTCCAGGTAACCACGCCAGCAGAATGGCTCATGTCCGATACACGGAGGTTCTTGGGGAGGATCAATCTCTATTGAAAAATAAAATTCATGGCCCACTGCACAAGTCAAAGACAGCAACTGCAGTACAGGGCTTGGGCTGAGCTTTCAATGCCCAATCCTGTTAACTGGCAAGTACAGAAGTCACCCAGTGACCTTCATAGCTAGCAAGCAGCAGAAGCCTGGACCAAACATGGCAAAGTCTGCTACAGATCTGCTTTAGGATATTTTGTGAGCCCTGCAATTGGCTCAACTGTCCAGCGCCCAGGAGCTCCTGACACATCTGCCTGAGAAGTCTCCATCAGGCTCAGCTCTGAGAAGCGTTCATAGGTAGGTCAGGTTTGAGCTCTATGCCCCAGTGGTGGAGCATGGCCCTATTGTGGCCTGCTGAGAGCCCCTTCCCTTTGTTTTCCTACTGCAGATGAAGAATAACTTCACAGGCCTTATTGGTGTCATGCTTCAACCTTCTTTGGTAAAGTCAGGAATATAACGAAGCCCATGGTATTGTCTGTGCTGTATATGGGACACCAGCCCTACACCAATATCAAAGGCTTAGCCAGCATTTTCCTGTGCAGTCAGACTGCTCAAGTTCAGCATAAGGAGAAAAAAAATAATTATTTTTAAGCAATGACAGTTCACAGCAGTTGTCAAAAAGCATCTTATGAGATACCCACACAGGGCTATAGTGCTTTCCTCAGGACAAAAGCAATTTCTAAAGCTCAGCTGGGATCAACAATGGAAGCAACCTCTCATTAATTTTCATTCTGTGCTTGCTATAAGCTACATATTTTGAGAACATCTGAAGGAGAACAATTTAAGGAGTAAGGTTTGTCCAGCTTTCCAGGTTTTAGAGAGAAGGTTCTGGGAGCATAGTGCTGGCCTTCAGGGAAGATTGTTCCAACCCTAAAGTACACCAGAGTTTATAGCAAAACTATAACTTAATAATTCATCTCAATTCCCTACTCTTCTACAAGCCTTCCTGGGGGACTATGAGCATGTCATTGTCTGTTGACTCAGTTCTTCTCCATATAAACCAGGCAACAACACTTGCCAGACCTTGAAGAGTCCTGCGAGGATAAGCCTAACAACAATCATAACGTATCAGTGAAATATTAGAGTTGTGAAAAGGCCACGGAGAAAGACAAGGCCAGGCTTAGATAAACGAGGAGCGTGGAGCCACGGCTTCTCCCAGCAAACACTGCACTCCTCACACCCAGGCTTTACTGCTTCAACAGACACAGAGGCAGAGAGGCAGAAATCGGAACCCCGCCCGTAAGGGGAGGAGGGACAGCAACGCCCCAGTTCAGGCAGCACGCTGCTCAAGGCGCTGGCTCACGGTCACTGAAGACCACCTTTCACTGGGCTCACGAGGTAAGCATTAGTTCACTATCTAATGGACTCATGCTTCATTTAGGAGACCACTAAACAATTGCTTCAAAGTAAAACGACCAGAAACCTTCTCCGAGTGGCTCACTACGTGTTTTACCTCCCACTGGACAGAAGAGGGAGCTGAAAGGTACCAAATCCATCACCAGAAGAAAGGGACAGAAGGGCAGTGTTATCAGTCCAGCTTCGCAGCACTGATCTTAAAAGCCATTTTTTTTCCAAGAATATCCCTACTAATGCTAAATGCGTTCCCTCTCTCAGAAGTTTCACCTCATTTTTATTCCAGTTCAGGAAAACAACTTTTCTTTTTCCGAAACTCTCCTTGCATGTCCAGTTCCAGATAGGCTCAAGCCTTTTGGCCTCAAGAGATCTCTGTTTGCCCCCATACACTGCCCTCGAGGTCAGTAAGCACTGGGAAACTGCTTGGCATCTTGTCCTAAATCCAAGCTTCAACTGCTCACACCAGCTTGATTCAGAAAGAAAAAGTACATCAGCAAGGCCAGTGGATATGGAACGACCCTGGAACGTTCCCAGTACACACCTGACTGAACAGGGCAGATTGAAGCCTGCCTGGCAGTCTCTTAGGACCAGTTTAAGGTCATGAGCCAAATGCAGGTCAGGTCATTATTTTTAACTGTTCTAAAATGGTTTAGCTTTGGTTGTTAAACTTCTGTTGTTGCTAAGCCTGATAGCAGCACATGAAGCACTGCATACATTTGTTTAAGGACTAGTGAAGTAAGCTTGGTAACCATCAGCTGTCATCACTCTTGTATTACAACAGCTATCTCTTCTATAATCATAGACTGGTTTGGGTTGTAAGGAACCTTTAAAAAGCCACCTAGTCCAGCCCCTCTGCAGTGAGCAAGGACATCTTCAACTAGAGCAGGCTGCTCAGAGCTCCATCCAGCCTCACCTGGAATGTTGCCAGGGATGGAGCATCAACCACCTCTCTGAGCAGCCTGGCCCAGTGTTGACCACTTTCATTGTGAAAAATTTCTTCCCTCTATCTAGTCTAAGTTTCCCCTCTTTTAGTTGAAAACCATCACACCTGCTGGGTCCTCTCTCTGCCAGAGGCCAATGACACACTTTTTGCTTACTTTCAGTCCTGTCAGAGCAATGATGCTCTTGTCCTTCCCCATCTCCATGTCCTTTGTGTCATCAGTTGTGCTGTATCTCACTAAGGACCTGTCTATCAGAGGCCTGACCCTAGCCCAGGACATTGTGACTGTGTCTTTTGCCAGCCACCTGTCCACTACATGGACACTAGACTAGCAAATTTTTAAGAGAAGATTTGAGGGTAAAGGACTATGTTCACATTCTCCACTAGAAAAAAAAAGCCACTTTCTAACTCTCCCCATTGTCACAATCCTTCCCCTGTCCTTTTCACAGATGGAAACATGATACTAGATTTCAGTAGCCTTAAGTCACTGCCACAACAAAGCCTGAAGGAATGTGGCCCTTCAGGAACAGCCCAACAGCCCGTGACCTTTACACAGAGCATAGGGGTTTTGATTATTTCTTTTTTCTTTCATTGAACTGCCAAATACATCTTAGCACCCAAGTAATGAAGGTCTTGCAGATGCCTCCCAGATTATTGGAACAGCATTTCTTATTCTGCTGCAGGCTCTAAACTCCAGGGCCCAAATGTGCAACCATCTGACAGCCACACTGTAGTTTACCACACACCAGCCTAGCTGCACTATGATTTACCACACATTAGCTATAGTAAAAGTTGTGATTTTCCATCTGCATGTACTAATCTCACTTCTTTTATGAGATGAAACTACACTGCTTTTCATTTTAATGAAAGATGCTGAGGCTTGTTTGTGTCACCCTAGAGCAGTGCACGCTGGGAACATGTATTTGAACAATCCCAGCTCAGCTCATTAGCACTGTAAGATGCTCACCTATAGCAAGAAAAATCAAGTAAATTATTTCCTTGTGTGATATTGTAATCAAGTGATAGGAAAATGAAGTTTGTTCTTTGGTTATGATTGCACTGCAGCAGGTTATGGGCTGTGCCTGTATGCACACGCAGTGCACATGGGTGGCCCAGGAGCTTCCCAGCCACTCACCTCTATCAGTAAGAACATGGGTTGGCTTGGGACCATGGACCAACTTGAAAGTAGGTGATTGAGCTCCATAATTAAGCATTTGACTGATTCCTACTAATCTCCTCTGGGTGGGAACTTCAGATAATCCTACAAATTCCCTGAGGCAGCTCCTGTTGTGTCTAGTCTGATTTATATCATAGAATAATTTAGGTTGCAAAAGACCTTTAAGATCAAGTCCAACCATTAACCCAGCACTGCCAGGGCACCACTAAACTATGTCACTCAGCACCACATCTACCCAGCTTTTCAATCCCTCCAGGGACGGGGACTCCACCACTGCCCTGGGCAGCCTGGGCCAGGCCTGGACAACCCTTTCAGGGAAGAAATTTTTCCTCATGTCCAACCTAAACCTCCCCTGGTGCAACTTGAGGCCACTTCCTCTCGTCCTATTGCTTGACCTTCTTAGAGTGAGGAGCCTAAAACTGAACCCAGTATTTGAGGTGCCACCTCACCAGTGCCAAATACAGGAGGTACAGGAGGGTGCCCTCAATCCCTTTGTCGAGGTTATTTATATTAAAGAGAACAGGCTGCAATACTGAGCTCTGGGAAAGCCACTTGTGACTGGGCACCAGCTGTGATTTTCCACCTGCATGTACTAATCTCACTTCTTTTGTGAGATGAAACTACACTGCTTCTCATTTTAATGAAAGATGCTGAGGCTTGTGTCACCCAAGAGTGGTGCACACTGAGAAATCAATTCCATTAACCACCATTCTTTGGGATTGGTCATCCAGCCAGTTGGTATTTTTACCCTGTGATGAGTATACTCATCCATGAACAGCCAGTTTCCCCAGGAAAATGCTGTAGGAAATGGTGTCAAAGGTTATATTCTTAAATGTGTTGATTAACATCCTGAGTGGAGCATCCCAAAACACTTCCCTCAGTAATTTCTGGTGCAGAAGTTCAGATTGCATATAGATAGGACATCTGTAAACAGTCAGTAGAAGCTGCTCCTGTACACACAGCCACATTGCATGGCTGGATTATAAGAAGTGAGAATAACAATGGTTCAAGCAGTTCTCCAATCCATCTGCAGCCCTTGGCGGCTGCTGTTATGGTGTACCTGTCACAGCTTTGGTGCTTGCCTTCCTGCTCCTCTGGGGCCCCTTCTCTGCCCAGATGTGGATGACATATTCCATGCCTGGCTTCAGATCTCGTATGGTGAGGATGTCATTTTCACTCCCCACCTCTGTTTCCTTGGTGTCCCCATCAGCTGAGGTGTATCTCACCATGTACCTGTCTATGAGAGCTTCAACTTTATTCCATGAGACAGTGGCCATTTGCCACATTGGTTGAGCTATCAACTCCTGAGAGAAGATTTCGAAGTGCAGGATTAGGAAACTCCAGCTGAATTAGACCACTACAATACCTGTCATGACACGTGCACATTTTCTTCATTTTTGCTTTGGTCAGCCTAAAACAGTCACCTAGGTTCCCCCTACAGCCCTGAGAAAAGCATCCATGAGAAACTAGTGTGGTCAGAGCAAGGAAAAAGCAGGATAGTGGGGAGAAAGCAGAGTGAGATGTTCTACCATTTAAATGAAACTTCCCACTTTTTTCCTGCAGGAAGAGTTTGGGCCACTTGTACCCCACCTTCTATGGGTACTCACTGAGCATTGCCTTCTTGCTTGTCCTCACAGCACCAAGCATAGGCCCCATCCACCCTCTGCTGTCAGCTGGTTTAGTGCTGCTCCCTTTCTCTCTACCCTCCAGACCAGTCTCTCAGACCCCTCAAAGGCTCCTGCTATTTTAGGTGATAAATCAGAATTTAGCAGTAGCTCTTGCAATAGCTGGTATCTGTCTTAGTCGCAGCAACCAAGTTCCAAGGATTACATAATAATATGGGCAGGATTACTCATTGTGGATTTTTTTCTCCCCCCTTTTTAAGATGTTTTGCAGCCCCCATTTCTGTGAAGAACAACTTGAAAACACAAGCCAAGGGTGTTCCAAATAATCAGAATCTACACAAGGAAGAAGAGCAGCCTTACAATGGCAGTGTGGAGGTTGTAGGTCATGTTTGAAATCTTTTTTTTTTAAATGGAATAATTTACAAGATAAACTCAGGAACGACTCAGGAATTTGGGGTTTTTCAGTCTTTGGATGCAGCACACCTACCCTTTCATAAGAGAGCGGAATTTCAGAGTTTCCGGAATCTTACAGGTAGAATGAGAGTTCAGAATTTTTCAAGCTCTCTTTTGCAATACAATAGCTCAAAAATAGTCTGCCACTTTTTTGAAGAGCTTGAAGCATCAATGGATCAACAGGGTTTCCAGATCTGCTTTAACATTCATGTCTGGAATGGCTAAAGGCTGCCAATTTCAGGGAAAGTAACTGGCAAGTAACAGTAGAACCTATCAGGATTTCTGAGCTGTACTGAGCACGCAGCTGGAGCACGCATCAGCCTAAAGACACTTCTGTGCTCTCCCCGTGCTGGAGATGACTACGTCTGACTCAGTTATGTTACAAGATGAAGTAGTCCAAAGCTTCAACTTCTAAGGGCCAGAGCATGGCTGAAGGTCCTTCAGTCATTTCACAGGTAAGAGGCGAAGACTTGAGCTACCCCAGGAGTGCCAGGGCTGTGCCTCTGTGCAGCCCATGAGACACGCACAGCTTCACCTCCACGGGGCAGGGCCACCAGGCCACACAGCAGGCAGGACTACTGCAGCCCCCTGTGGAAACACAGGCCTGGCAATGGTGTGCTAATCTGCTCGTCATCCACCTGCCTGGTGAACAGAAAGCCAGTGCTGGGACCAGGCAATATAGGAAAGAGGGAATAGAATTTGTCTTCTTCCTTATCACTCCTGGGCTCAGAGACCTGTTAGTCTGGCAGCAGCTAACAGCTGTGAGGCAGTCAGCAGCAGCTGCCCAGAAGATCCATGAGGCAGGGCCATATCAGACCACAGATCTTGTGCACTAGGTTTAAACAAGGTCATCCTGTCAGTGATCTAGCTAAGGAGGCCATGAAGCAGCAAACTTCGAGTTACTGCTGGACCCAGCTCTGAGCTCATTTGAGGGCTGGTATTGCACAGAGGCCAGCTTACTACACTTGTCCTGGGTCTGGCTGGAGCCATTAGTCCAGCTAAGGGTGAAGTTACTGTGGGTTTAAAAAACAAGGCAAAAGACTGAGCTAGAGCTAGGTTTAGTGTTTAATACGCAGTGTAGACAAGCTTATAAAAGAATTTAAAGTTTAGATTTCTACCTAACTTCCTTTTACTTTGAGAATGCCTAGATAGCACTTTCTGCCCAGGCTTGACATTAGGGCATACATTGACTATAGCAAGTTTGCATTTCCATAACATCAGTGTTACCAGCTCCGAGACAGAAGAATATACTTTATTCCTAACAAGGACAGAATTAAAGTTGAATAAATACACCTTGAAACTTGCTATCCACACAGCAGCTTTCTCCCTGTGAAGACACCCATCATTATGGGATAGAGGAATCCCAGTAGATCTCACCCTGGCCTATGGCAACCACAAAGTGAAGAGAAAAATTGACCATCAACACATGAGAGAAGAATCACCTCAGGATTACAGTCTGATTGTCAATGGCTCCTGCCACTTCTCCCTGCCCAGTTTGGAATAGCCACAAGTACTCACCAGTCACGATGTATCTGCTCTTAGGGTCATTGCTTTTGGGCACCATAACCTGCTTCTCATCCATGTCCATCAAGGATCTGAACTTCAGCTTGTAATAGTCTACATCAGTTGGTGGGTTCTCCCACTCCACTTCCAGGGAGTGTTCCATCTCCTCCATCACCCACATGGCACCGAGTGCAGACAGGACTGGGAAGGACAGCAGAGGGCCATGAGGAACCAATGTCAGCACAAAAAGGTAAATGTAAGGTAGGAAGTTGCTAAACAGTTCTCCTCCCTGCCTGGTCTGAGACCCAAGACATTTTCCTCAGCCAAATTGAAGAGTTAAGCAAGTACATCACAATCATTATTTCAACAGGCTTAGTTTTATCCACAGTAACACTAACTCAAGAGTTTTCTGTCTCTCAGCTCTCACTTGTTGTAGAAGTAAGAAAAATGTCAAAATAACCAAACTTTTCACTTTTTTGCCAAGTGCAGGCAGACGGCATAATATCTGCTGCCAACAAAATGGCATTTCAGTTCTCAAGAGACTGCTTCAAATATGAAGTCTTTCCACACTCAATCTCCTAACCTCAGTAGCATCAAACTCATACAGTCCTAGGAAGAAACTGTGAGGAAAACTCACTGCTCCAGACATATTTGGTAAATTAGTAACTAGACATAACATCCTGACTACTTTAAAATCCCTTCTGCATCCAGTCAAACAGTTCATTATTCTTAAAACGTGCTAGCTTTATCTTGGATGCTTCCATTCCTGCGTCGTGCAGCGGGCAACAGTAGGGATTCCCTGGAATTCAGGGGTGTCAATGCAAGTAGGATTTGCACAAGATAAAGGGAAAGGGAGGAAATTCTTAATACATTCAAATCTAACAATACATATCTGGGAACAGATTCTCCAGAGAAGAATCATGACAGAAAACTGCAGCTGAGGCTGGAAAGGAGAGTGCTCTCCAGCTCTCAGACAGGATGTCAGCAACCTACAAAGCCAAACAATTTGTTTCACTTGCTTTAATCCAACTTTAAAGATCTACAGCTTTTGACTCTGAAGAAAAATACTGTCTGCTCCTACCTGTACTTGCTTCTAGATACTTGGGCCCACTGGCAATCCCCTTCTTCACATGATGAAGCGTAACGTTGTATGTGGTGCCAGGGCAGAGACCCACAATCTCATAGCTGAGCTGCTTTTTGGGCACAAGGACTTGTTTCACCGATGTCTCATACCCTACTGGTTAATAGCTATTATGTGGATAATGTAATTATCCACATCAATCACTGGATCCCAGCTGACAGCCAGAGACTTCTCCATGGAGTTCAGCAGTTGCAGGTTCTGAGGAGCAAGCACTAGAAGAGGAAAACATTGCAATGAGGATGATGTCTTGTCACGTGGCCAAGCAAGATTTTTTTTCTAGCCTATTTTGGATAGAGAGAGAACACAGAACTGGAACTCCCAGTCTATAGTCATCTTGGATTTGTCCATTTCAACAGCATATCATTAAATACAAATGAATGCTGCAGTCACTAACAAATACAATAATTTCCTGGATGACTCTTTCCAGCTTCTAAACCCACACTGGCATGAGGAAAATGCTCACATAAGGCTGTTCCTTCCAGTGCCTCTAGGAAGGGAAGGAGAAGCCAAATCCTGCTTTCCATATCACTGTCAGAATTATTTCAAAATGTCAGCTGGTCCTCCAAACTGGGGAACAGCTTCTCCACAGCAGAGGTAGAAAACTGAGCTTTTATGTTGATGGAAACTGACATTTGGTGCCTGGAGGAGACCTGGGCAAATATTCTGCATGTAATAAGTTTCAAGACTCCAAGAGTACCTTAACTGTTTTGCCACAAGACAGAGAGCTCATCAGTGTCTTGAAGCATCCCTTGAAAGCAGTCAATGTAGAACATCTGTCAGAAAGCTTTTTAACCTGATTTTTATCACAAGTAAGCACACTGTAAATTGATCAAACCCTCTACCAGCTGTATTTCATCAGCAAGGCACTAACCAATAGCCAAAAAAGAGAGTGCCTGTAAAAAAGACATGTGTCAGCACATTAGGTTAGATAACACCATGAGATTCTTCTCATTTGAAAGGAAGTACGCATTCCCTTGTGTAATCCACAATGCTCACCAAATTCCACTCTCAATACATGCCTGCCATTGCTTTCAATGGTACAAAACATGAAACATTCATCCTGCCTCTCCTTGTGATATAGAAGCTGGATTATTCACATTTTTGCAGCAAAATAATAAAGAACCCAAATACATATGGTGTGATTTATGCCTTGTCTAAGCGTATTTTGGAAGAGGATTCTGCCTGCCTCTCTGAAGAGGAGACAGGTGGGGTAAGAAGCCAGGACCAAATGTTAAGGACAATGCCTAGGACAGTGTGTGTTTCCAAGGCAGGCGTTTTGATGAGGGTTTCTTGGCAGTGACTCCCTAGCCCGGGGTGGGGGGGGGGGAAGTGGTTTTTTGTTCTGCCATGAGATGCACCAGAGCTATCCTCTCCAGACAATGTGACAAACACAAAGGACTTGACAAAAACTGGCACTATCTCCACTTGGTAACCCTTGAAAACCGCCTCCTGGTGATCTCCCACAGCAGAGGACCTCCTAGCCTGAAGCAAAAGGGTTCATCCCAGGCACAGCACTAATTGCTGAGGTGAATTAGGAAGACAGGTGGTTGTAAATTGTGCCAGAGCCCATCTTGGTTCTGCTTGCAGTCTCAATCTCTCTCCATCAGGCAGCTCCTCCTCCAGCTGAAGCAAGCAGGAATCAAGCAGCACATTCATAGATCCAGCTCTGTGCTGAGAGCTCACACAGGGGCTGGTTGGGAACCCTGACTCCCCTGGGAGAAGCAGAGTCCCTCTCTATTTTCTTTTCCAATTTCCCAATTACAGTATCAACACAAAGACCTCCTGGCTAAACTAATGTTGTGCCGAAATACCAAAAAGCTGTTTTTGTGGATACCCTTGTTTTAAACTGCTTGTTTATTCTTCTTCAGGTATCCCACAGTGCTATTTTGGAGTGCCAGTAAAGAAAGTCCAGAAAGAGCACAGGCCAATACCTGCTGTTCAATGTGTCCTTGCCCTCTCTTTCTCCTTCAGAAGGAATTGCAAGACATTAATTATAGTGTTGCATGCTTGATAGCCACTTCTAGGTGTTCAGACATTCCAGTTACCATGGTAATATACAACAAAATACATCATTTCATGGTCTGAGAAACATAAAAAAAAATAACATAATAATAATGATAAATACATAAAACCAGTACTCAGTGTAAATCTCCCAGGATACAGAAATGTAATCCAAATTGGAACAGAAGAGGCAACTTGACATTGATGAGAGAGAAGCAGCTGACTATGGATGCTGAGATGGGAACAGTTTGCCTTTGGATTTAGAGTTTTCAAGCAGGAGAGGTGTAGTGCTCTTAAATAAAAGATAAGTCTCTAAGCAGACAGATCAAGCCGGAGAGGGGAGGGATAGCCCAGAGCAGAAAAGACCTGTGAGTAAGGTCACCACAAACCCTTACTGAGCAATACGTGGTGCTCAGTGTGTGGCTGTCACCTGCTGCTCCTTCAGGAGGAGCTGTGAAAGATAAGGCCAAGCACTGATATGCTGAGAAGCAGAGGTGGCTTCCAGGGTAAAAGGCTGAGTGCTGAAGCCTGGAGTATCAGCCTGTGGTTATAGGGAGGTTATAGGGGTTTCAGAACTAAGCAGAAACTGCTGGACACACACCTTAAGGTCAGCTCAGTCAGGTCTTCTCAAGCAAATCCCACTGCCTTGTAAGAAATCTGGATAAGGGAGAGTTTGCCAAAGACCTTACTTCTAAAGGATTTATGCATCCTTTGTCTCATAGGTTTTATCAAATCAGCTACCTTATCAGCATGCAGTGCACTCTGCAGCAAACATGATTTACCATCTATTGCCTCATTTGTATGTCAAGAAACAGACCATGGTTCTGTTTACAGGCTCCATGCCCAGTTTTGCTCCCTCCTTCAGCTGCTGCACACAGGCTTGTGCTAGTGCTACCTTCAACTGCATTTTCAGCCTTCCCCAATTCAGAAAGGTTTTCCAGACAGCTCTTGAACATAAGGAGCAGTCAGCAATCCCTAGCCCGGCAGGAACTCCCCAGGCTCGGCTTACGTACAGGATTAACCAAATACTTATACGAGGCAGTGAGGGGAAACACAGGCTGACAGAAAGAAGGGAGAAGTCACTCACAGCCACGCCTCACCCTGGGAGCAGTCAAGGCCGGGGAGGCCACAGCGGCAGCAGCGCTCTCCCGTGTCACAGGACCCGTTGCCACCGTTCCCGCTGCACGTCGCGCTGGCAGAGCCCCTCGGCTGTGCCGCAGACCCCGCTGCCCCTCTCAGGACAGAGCTGGGGGCTGCAGCGCACACCAAAGCAGGCTCACCACGGGTGCAGCCCCCGCCACCGCGGAGCCCGGGGCCGCTGCAGGGGCTGGGGCAGGGGGGGCGGGGGCAG